ACATTTATATAAATGAATCTATAAAATACTAAAAAAGAGAAGAAATATTTTTAAACTAAGTTACTTTAAAAAATATCAGAATAAATAATATTAATATTTAATAAATTATTATGAAATTAAAAATCTTAAATTTATAAATACAAATATTTATTAATATTTTAAATTTTTCAATTTTTATTTTTCAATTTGTTTAATTATCATTAGCTAATCTTAAACTTACCATTGTAAAGTTAGAAATTTATAGAACTAATATTACATAACATTTTAACTAATTAATTAAAGAGATATTTAATTAAATAAAAGATTATAATAAATAAATATTTATAAAAATAATAGAAATAACAGAATATTAAATTAGAAATAACAGAATTTACAGATTAATTAAAATAGAAATATTGAAAATATTAGAAAATAATAATAAAAAATAATAATAATTACTAAAAACTTAAAAAGAATTTTATGAAATTTACAAAAAGAAAAATAAGAAATTACAAAATTATAGAAATAGAAAATTAGAAAATCATAGGATCTACAGAGATAGAAAATCAAGAATTATAGAATTTATAAAAATAATCTACATTAATTTTATATAAATAAGAAAATTTTCATTATGTAAAAAATTATATTCTTTCAAATCAACGTTTGATTTCATTCATATAATTAACCATATTAAACAAGATGCCTTATTTAACAATCAAGAACTTTGGGCGCTCCTTCAGAATATGTCTAAAGTTTATAATTATATTAATGTCTTTATGTTAGTCAAAGTTCTTGAACGACTTAAAATCCCTTTCTCGTTTATTCAAATTATCATAAAGATTTTTATATCCCGTTTTAACCAGCATATAAAAATACTGATACATATTTAGTTCACTCAAGGATCGACTAAGGAGAAGTAATTTTACCACTTTTGTAATACATTTATTATGACCTGCTTCTATGTAGAATTAATAATTCACCCTATAATTATAATATGAATATACAATAGCATTCTGACATCCGTTTCACTCAAACTACATCTCGCTAATGTAAAATTTTTACTTTAGCATTTATGAATGACACTTTGTAGGTGGTTAAATCTAAAAAGGACTTATCACACATCACTTCAATTGCTAATAGTTTTTTAACTTTAATAATATTTAAGTCAATTGGTCAAAATCAGAACTATTAATTAATACTTATCAATCACAACCTTTTATTATCTGATGTAATTTATAACATTATAAACTTATCCTTTATCATTTAAATAATAGTATTAGATATCTGAGTATATAGATATCCTTATGATTTAATAACAACTTTATTATAAAATAATAGCATACTGAAATTAAAAATGCTGTCACCATCATGAAAAATAAAAAGTTAACCGATTTACAAATAATTTATATATATAATACAGTAATCCTCTTAAAAATTGAATATAAATCTCAACTAATACTCCTATCAAAAGCTCAATGCAAAATATTAATAGCCACATTTATTGCATTTTTGAAAAGAAAACTCAAGCTCTCACGAGTTATATTCACCAATCTGTTTAACTCACATTATTTTTACGTTATTCTACTGCAATAATAACTTTTCAATATTTCAATTTAACAATCTTATAAAGACCAATGAAACTGGTCTTTTAGAACTAACATTTCTCATAAGAATCAAATAACTACAAATCAAAGAATGGTTATACAAAAGCCTCTTGATCTTTTGGCTTTATAATACAATATAGAAAAATGATGATTGACTTTCGTCTACTTTATATAATATAAAATAATTGAATATCTCCTTGAGTGTTTTTTTTATCTTTCATCAAAATATAGCAGGCGGTATACACAATATCTATAAACTTATTCTAACTCATTATAGAGCTTTCATCAAAGACCTTTGTTAATGCTCAGTCCTTTATATTAAACAATTATTTAACTGTCATAGTAACTACATGTTAACATATAATGACCTCTGTATTATCATTAATACTGAGAAAAAATTCTATATAACACCTAAGTGATTCATAACTATTGAGCGTTTACTATCAATAAAAGAGCATAAAATGCTTCCACTAATGAACAGTTTTAAATATAATCATTATTACGATTATACTATTCAACTGCTCAAACAAAACTTAGAATTTACAACTATGTTATTGGATGGGATACCGCTACCAAATCATTTATCACTAGTTATCTTACCTACTTTGATGATAATACCATATATATTAAATACTGTTTAACTTTAGTAGACCCTTATTATTATACTATATTTAAGGATTGTGATCATTGCTCTCTACATCAAGAAGATACATAGAAGTTAAAATTTGATTTTTATATGTTTTCTCATACTTTCTTGCAATCTTTGTACCTCAATTTCTATTAAATTCAAGGATAAATATGTGAATGTCTTTCATATAGTTCTTTCAATTGGAACTTTATATGAACTTGCTTATTTAATATTATATTACATAATTACCTGAATATGTATCTGATTAAAATCAAAGCACATTCTAATAATTTTTACAATAACAAAATTGACAAACTAGCTAGAAATTGCAATCAATCCTGTGCCTTATAATTTTTTACTTCTAACTCTAATAAAGCTTTTATAATATTCTATAACTCGTACATATTGATCCTCATACGCTAATTCATAAAAAACTACATAGAAAATCTTCAATCTTGAACTTAAGTAACTTGAAAATTCTCTTAAAAAGCGTCATAGTTGTCTATTCTCATTGGATTGTCACTTCATTCTTACTAAATAATAATATTATTGTAAGGTGTACCTCTTATATTGCCTTAGCAATCAGAAAAGCTAAATTCTAACGCATGTTAAAAATGCTTCCTACACTAAAAATTATGAAGATTAGACATCTGATACTCTATCTATCATCTCTTTTATGTTCTTGATATAAAACAGCTAATGATGACTTCTATCATATTTGGATGTGCCTAATAGTCAACTATAAAATGAAAAACATTATTATTAACTTCAAATATCACTTAAAATTTCTTACCAATACAACTGATATCAAAATAGAGCAATTGTCTTATTGGCAGCTTTGCACATATAATTCAACTTCTTATTTTACACTAATCAAAGAAATTGTTCTCTTACAACTCTACCGCTTTATTTACAGCAAACTTAATTCAGTATAATTAACTAATGTAACCTGTTTCTCATTTATGCATCTCATATGTAAACAAACTCAACAAATTTGGACAGACAGATGCACTATACAAAAAGAGCTAGAAAATTCTGTGAATATCTCCATTGAAGAAAAAAAGAATAACTTTAAAATCTCAGGTTATAACCTTTCCTTCCGATTTATTTCTAATACTTTTAGATCAAATCCTATTGCTACCATAATACGGTTAAGCTCATATTGATTGAATTTTTAGTGCAGTAGTGACCATGTTTTCTTTTCTTTTATTCATTTATTTTTCTAAAAAGTGATATATATAGTTTGGGTTAGATTTGATTTTGAGAAAGTGCAAGGTCAGTCTTCTTTAAAGATATAGTTTTTAGACAAATTTTTGTTTTTTTTTGTGATTTATTTTTATTTTTATTTTTAGTTTATCTATAAATGTATAAATATTTACTTTTATTATAATAAAGATTTAGTAAAATTATCACACTTTAAAAAAAAAAAAAAAATGTAAAAATTATAAGGTTAGAGATTAACATTTCTAGTTCAGTTTGTAACAATTGAACTTCTAATATGGATCACAATCTAATAGCCATAGTTTTAGGTTTCAACTAAGGCATAAAATTAGATGATTTTCTTATGAATTTTATATATAATAAATATGTAAGTATATATACTAATATACATTTATAACTGATTGATCAATTCATTGATCAGCATTGATTATACTTAAATACTAAGTTTTTAAGAATACATGGATACAAATTAAGTTAAGAATTAACAAAAACTTAACTTTCGCTGATAAGTCTATAATAAATACCATTTTCATCTTAAAATTCAAAGACCCTTATATAAGTAAAAAAGTAGTTAACTAGTAATTAGTAGATTATGTATTATATTAAAGTCAAAATACCTCATGTTAGTGATGACACATAACCTTTTATGACCTATATAACTTTAATAACTAGTTATATATTATTTGATTATTTTAATAAGCATTATAACTTTATGACTTTATGATCAATAATATCAGAATCAATTCATAATTGGATATGAAAAAGATTATATCAAGAATTACATGTTTTAACTTATACTAACTCAGATTTATTTTTATATTATATTAGTTCTTTTAGATTATAAGAATTTTATTTGATTATACAGATGGTCTCATTCAAAAAAAGTAAATAATTTCAGTTAATCATATTATTAATAAAAGAAGAAAATAAAATTTTTTTTAAAAAAATTTGAATTTATATCTATATGTTCAGATATAATTTTTTATTAAAACAAACTTTATTCTCTACTTCAATCATACTAAATTTTTTTGTCAATTTATATAACTGTATTTTCAAATTTTTCAGAATTAAACTTGAATTTGAAAAATATCACATCGTCTAATTTTATATTTATACTTAAAATTTTAACAAATTTTTTATGAAAGATTTTAAGATTTTAGTTTCAATCAATGAACAAATTGATAATTTATTCTGAATTCTAATACAGTCTCATTCATGTCAATTACAGGATTAAGAGAAATAAAAAAATTAGTTATTGTAAATTAAAAAACAAAAAAATCTTAAACAATCTAATTTTTGAAAATATTATTTATTTTACTTATTATCATATATAAATTAATTATTAAATATTAGTAAATACATCATCTGTATTTAAATAGGTCAGTAATTCTAGATTAAAAATAAAAAATGATCTAATAACTATTTTACTGAATTATCAGTAAGATAAATGGTTTATTCATTTAATTAAAATTTAAATCTCATTCTAAAGAAAGTAATATTACATCATCAGTATAATTAAATTAGTTTTTATATTTTACATTATTAATTTATTCAGTTATAATCAAATCCTAATATTTTTCATCTTCTTTTGTTAATGGTTCATTTTCATTATTATTAGAATCTTCATCACTTAATACTTGATTAATCTGATCATCATTATTATTACTATTATCAGATTCTTCTTCTAAAGTAATTGCTATTAGTATATAAAGTTGATAAATTTTTTTTCTTCATTTTGTACATGTTTAATATTTTGATTATAAAGAATATCACTTCTAATTTATACTATTTCAAGTACCCTTTTAAACTAAAATAAAATAAATAAAAAATATTATTAAAAAATATTAAAATTAATTTATAAATAAAAAATATAAACCATATAAATATCTCATGTTTGATCATAATCTCTTAACAGATGTATTTCATGTATTCTAATTGTAACTTTTATTAATTCAGATCTTATATCACTAATAAATTCTCAAAAATCAATTAATTGACTTTGAAACTGAATAAATGAATTGTCATCATAAAAGTCTAAACCTTTCATATATTACATAAATTCTGTTAAAATAGTTTAAGATTTATAATCAAACCATACATTATAATAATATTTTAATCATTTTTCAAGATGTATCATAGATAAATTAGGTGTAAATATCTGAAATTTTAAAACTTTATATGAAGGATGAAGTATAATTAAAAGAATTAAAAGTGGTTATTATCATTGTTTTCAGCGTTTTTCTATTCTTTTAACTATTTGTTCTGAAAAATTTGAATCTATATGCTCATTAAAAATTTTGTTACATATGTAAAATAATGAATTACTTTATATAACTTTCAGTATTTTTTTGAAGTTTATTTAAAAATTTACATAAAGGATATAATAAATTTTGAAGCTTTATTAGAGTTAATAAAAAATCATTATTATTAATAATATAGGCAATATTATCAAATAATTTTTATTTACCATTTTTTTTTTTGAAGTATTATTAGATATTACATTTAAAATACCATTTATATAAGTTACATTTGATTGATGTTTATGAATTTTATAGAAATAAACTAAATAATAATTAATAAATTAATTAATATTATAATAATAATTTAAATAAAAATTAAAAAAACTCACTTTTAAATGCAACTTTAGTTTTTAAAATAGAATAAAGTAAAAGTAATAGCTATTCCATTTAGTATTCTCAGGTAATATTAATGATATAATTTTTTATAAATTTGAATTTGCTTATTTCTTAAATTTTCAGTAAAATATGATAATTTATGAAAATAACTGACTATTTGTATAACTTTAGTAAAAATACGTTTATAATAAACATTTTCTTTAAAAATATCATCAAATATAAAGTTCATTTAATGTGTTATATATGAAAGAAATGTTTTATTTGGATTCTTTTTTAATTGTTTATTAAATTAAATTTAAATTAAAAATAAATAATTTTAAATTACTATGTCATAGTATATTTGCCTATAGAATCAGAAATAAAAGTTTTTATATTTATTTCTTCATTATTAGTTTCAACTATTAAATTTTTAATATATTAAATTACATTTTCAGTTTGAGAAGTTTCTCCACTAATATCATAAGCATTTTAAACAAGAGGTTGATCTTGTAATATTAATAAAATAACTTCTCAAATATATTCTGCTTTAATGTTGGTCTATCTATCGAATGTTATAGTAATATCATCAATTTCTTTTTTTGTAATACTCATAATTTTTTTTAAAATTTTAGCACATTTTTTTAAAACTCTACCAAAAATTGCTTTATGATTTAATAAATTAAGACTAAATAAAATAAATTAAAAATAGTTATGTATTTTCATTTTCTAAAAAGTAAATAGTAATCCATTAGAGATAATTATGTGAAAGAGTAAAAATTTAGAAGTTGGTCTGTCATTAATAAATATAAGCTAAGCATAATATAATATAATTAATTGTTATTTTAAACTTAAAAGTAGATAATACTATTGAAAAAGAGTTTCTTTATCATTTTATTAGATCTTTTCCTGTTTTTTCTTCTTCCTACTTTTCTTTATTAGATATAGCTAAAAAAATATATTAATATAGTGTCAGAAGTTTTAATTCAACAATGTTTCAAAATTTTTTGTGAATTTTATATTACGTGATTAGTAATTGACCAATGAAAAATGAGATATTAATCATTTTTTTGTATATCATTTTAAAATTATAATAACTTAAGCTGACATATGATTAATTACATAATATCAGCTCAAATTATCATAAATTTCAATCAATAATATATGTTTTAAATTCAGAAAAATTATATAAAAATTATTCAATTTTAAATGCCTATAATTTTTTATATAGAATTTATTTTGAAAAACTGACTAGTAATTTAATAAAGCTTATTTCAAAGAATAAGTTATCAGTTTATTTTTTTTAAATTTTATTTTTTTAAAAAGTTGAAAGATTTTTAAATATTATATTTATATTATTGAGTATAGATTTCTTATATTATAACTAATTAATAAAAGTAGTTAATAAATATAATTTTGAATAAATTTTTACTTTCATTTAAGTTTTTACTTTTTTTAAAGTTTTTAGAAATAAGACAGAATAAAATTTTAGCAATTTCATCTTTATTATAAGAATTTTTGAAATTCTTGCAATTTGCAAGATAATTTTGATAAAGTCTTACTTTATTAGAAGCAAAGCACTTAGGTTTTACTTATACAGTAGCTAAATCTCTAATATTTTAACTGCAACAAATACATATAACTTTGGCATTTGATTTATTATTATCATTTTTTATCAAAATGAAAAAATTCTGAAAATTATGACTTTTCTTTTATTTTATTATAGTTTTATTATAAAATAAATTTTATTTTATTAAAAATTCATAAATTAAAGAAAAGCATCTATTTTATCTAATTGAAAATGCATAAAAAAATTAGATTATTTAAAAAAAATTATTATATTATACAAGGTTATATTGTATATAGGACTTTTATAATAGAAAAAAAACAACTAAAAAAATAAAAATAAGATAATACTAAATCTGAATATATTTTAACTTAAAAATCATATTTAGCATATAAAGTAAAATTGAATTTTTCTGGCAGTTTCCTCTCTTTTTATTACAAAGATCTCATATGACCTAATAACTAAGGTTATAAATTTATGATCATAGGTTATAAAGGTCATATAATTCAGTCATAAAATTTATGATCTAATGATTTATGACTATTAATCATATAATCTCATGACCAGAGATTATTTAAAAATAGTGATATAATCTGATCATTTCTTAACACTGTTGAGAAACAAAATCTATAGACTGTTTAACAACATATAGTAGCTCAAAAGAAATTTGAAAATCACAAGATCTCATTTATCATCTATTTAAATTATCCTATTTATAGTTTATTTAGATTATAAAATCTAGTCAGAAAAATTACTATCTTTTGATGATTTTTGATTTTTGTAGATTATACCTAAATATAATGCTGTATTATATACTATCTTTACAATAGCATATTTTATAAAGACCTAAGAGAGCAAAGTAAGCTTTTTAAAAAAGATTTTCTATTAAAATATTTATTAAGAAAGATTGTTATTATGATCAGATATAAAGATAATATATTAAAGAATCCTTTAATAATATTACTGATAAGTTATATTATATTTGGATACAAACAAAACAATTTCAGTTATAGGAAATTAAAAGTATTAGTAGTACCAGTTCAATTATAAATAGTAATTATAGTGATATTTAAAGAATATAAAAAGAGACCAAAATAATACTATTATAATACCTTTTAAAGAAAATAATAAAAATTCTTCAAGAATGACACTATCAATAGCAATAGATGAATAATCATTAGGAATTACTATACTTATACTTCAACCACTAACCAATTCATTATCCTATAATAATATACAACTATGACAACTACATCTAAGAGACAGGAGGTAATATTATAAAGAATAAGATGACATATATACCTCTAATTATGAATGAAACGTCATGTATGAATACCTTAATGATGATGTTGAAATCCTATAATAAACAACTTTTTTTGACAATGCAAATGAATTAAAAAGAGGAGAACATTAAATAAATATCCTGATAAATTACATTTAATACAAATAATAGTAAGAGATCTCCATTTCTTGGTATAGTAGAAAATGTTTAACAATCAATAATTGTAATAGTATCTAATAATTAATCATTTAAGCTATCAAATTCAAGAATGATAACTTCATCAGTAAAAAATATAAATAAAGAATCAACATTAGGAAATTCTTTTAATTTTTTTAAGTAACTTAGTATAGCTGTATATTTGATCTTTTTGCATTATTTGATTCTTTTTGAAGAAGTAATTTATCTACAATTCTAATTTTACAACTATAAGTTAGCAACCAATGGGTAATGATTAGTTTAATAATAATCTAAATAATAGAGAAATTAATATGATAGGATAGCAAAATATAACTATAACAGGAATTTTACAGTCAACAATAACAGCCTAACCATATAATATGCGATTACCATTAAACTCTATAGGAGGTAGTTCTTAACCAACTAATATAATAATCTCTCAATCAATACTAAGTAGTCAGCCATCAACTAATACAACTACCTTTCAATTGATACTTACGTCTCAACTAGCCATAGTACCAGTAGAAGAAAATAATAATATTGCTTACTTTTAGGTCATATAAGATTTAGCAAGATAGCTCTAAGGATAGAAAATGAGAAAGCAATAATTAGAAGATTTACCAATATTTAGAGAAGGAAGCTAGGACTTAATGGAATGATTTGAGACTTTTAAACAAACCTGTAAAACAAATTGTATCAATATCACTTGAATGGTTAAGGTAGTTTCTAGTTATTTAATAAGAATTGCATTAATATAATTTTAGTAATAATATATTACTAATTGAAATAGTAAAATTAATCTTATACTTCTTTTATATTATTGTTTAAACAATATTTGTAATGCATTTTGATAAAATAAATGGAAATATCAGTTCAGGTATAAGAAGTAGAAATCAGGTGAAACTATTGAAAAATATGCTATAGCAATAGAAGAATTGTAAAAGAGAGTTGATCTATAATATAGGTAAGTATAGATGGATAAAGTAGCTGAATTTATTGAAGGATTAATCAGAATTTATGATACTAGTACAAATAGTGATATTAACGATAGTAGACCAAGCAATTAAAAAGATCAGAGCAGTAAAATCTACATATTCCATTAAAATAAAACTATCAGCTTATTAGTTAATACCTAATTATATATAATTATTACAAAGAGGAATAGTATTAGCTCAAATAAATATAGTAATGTAACCTACATACATTACATAATAATTAGATATTGAAGGTATTATTAATCATAAATTAAATGAA